ATAAAAATAATGTCAAAATAAGCGAGAAATTATATTCACTTCAAAGAATTCCACTTCTGACGATCACTAAAACTTACTCAACAACAAGTACTGAAGCTCTCCAGATACTGACAGGAATCATCCGGATACAATTTAAAATCATAGAGGAGGTTACAATTAAACGCATAAAATGGGATTGGGGACTCAAAGATGTCTATGATGTTTTACCACCAGATTTTGATTTCACCAGATTTGATGTCCCCGACTTAGTCCACCCCTCTACGTATCGGGCCTTGACTTGGGGATATAACAGCCCAATAGATCAGGGTTTGGAGATCTTTACAGATGGCTCTAGAATGGAGAGAGACAATAAAAGTTCCTTCAGGACAGCATACGCAGTCATCATTAAGATTGACGGAATAGCAGTAGATCAAGTCTCCATGGACAATACCAATATTTTTACTGCTGAGCTGATGGTGATTGAGGCGGCACTAGATTGGACTATAACAAACAATATTACGCAAGCTACCATTTTTTTCAGACTCGCTTTCTTCCCTCCAGGCCCTGGCAGACCCAGAACCTTCCTCCAGACTCATCGAACAAACAAAAAGAAAATGGAGAGAGGGCATTGAATTAAATTGGTTCAAAGCACATGTTGGTATCCAGGGCAATGAGGAGGCAGATAGAGCCATAAAGAGCGCAATCGGCTCAGACATTAAAGATCTCCGGTGTCTGAGGACCCCTAAGATGACTAAAACAGACATAAGAAAACTTATCATGGCGAGCTGGGAAAGGAAATGGAGAGAATCGAGTAAAGGTCGGCAGACCTACAAATTCATTAAAACTCCGTCAACTACCAGACTACAAGTAAACTTTTATTTAAATCAATATTTGACGGGGCACGGAGTGTTTGGTACTTATCAAAAGAGATTTTTTAACAAAGACGATAAATGTAAATACTGTAACGAAAAACATACACTTGAACATCTACCATATTTCTGCAATCATTTCCAAGCACTCCGACAAAATTTATTCAATGATTAAAATGACCAACAAATTTTTGCAAACAATAGATGTAGAGAAATAATCAAAACCATCATCAAAACCGATCTAGAGGATCTGCTGGCACTAGTTTTTAACAACTAATTAATATCTCCATTTCCGGACCAGCTTGTAATTTTTATATTATGGACCACGACCCAAGTTTTTAAGGTGTATTTATACGGTTTTAGACCACTTTTTACTCTATTTGCATTTTTAATTGTTTCGATTTTATCTTGCCTATTATAAGCTTTAATGTTTTTTTTGTACAAATTTTTAACGTTCCTTCATTGTACTATTATTTTATTGACCTCGTGTCTTTTAGTCAATGAATTTTAACAACTTTTTCTTATTTATGTTTATTTGTTTTTTATATGTTGACTATTTTATGTCAGTCTTTTGTGTTATTTTAACTGTACTTCTCTTAATCATTTTAGTGATTTCGATGTTTTTACTTTAAGTGCGATATTCATTTTTAATCTTCTAAAATTTTTTATGTCTTATTATATCGACTTTGAGAGTACACTCGATTCTTTACAAATTTTTATGTTGAATTTTTAGACCCTTTTGATCAATTGTATAATTTTAGCCTTTAACTTCATTTATCAATTGTCCCTTATAATCTTTTTACCATTTTTCCTGTATTTTAAACTTCAAGTTTTTAAACCACCAGTTTTCGGTCATGAGGTTTGATCAAAAATATTTTTCATGAAGCTTGTACAAATTCCATTATATTTTGACAGCTCTCACATGGTAAATTCTAGGCCTTACATAGTAGATATCGTTAATTTTATTAAATTTCAAATATTTATAAGGGTCCGTTGGCCAATTTATAAACTTTAATTTTTTTTCCTCTTTTTTTTTTCTTCCTGAATTTATCATATATTTCATTGTAGACATCAATCTAGATGTTTAACTTCACCTATTAGTTAATAGTCGGAATAATCACAACTATTATACATGTAAAACGTTTAATTCTAGAGGTGAATTTGTTACTTTTGTTTTTTTTTGCCCGATTACCTCCGGGCTGTTGCCAAAATAGTACTAGGTTTTTTTCTTGTTTTTAAATAAATGCCACGGAGGGGCTTCGCCGGGCCCCTCGGCCAGTGCGTGTGCCAGATACTCTCTGTCCACTTCCGGCTGTGCGGGAGACTGTCACGGCGACAAGTTTAAAATTTTTCCCGCATACCCATATCTGGGGGGATCGGGTACCTAATTAACCTTACCAAGTTTGTTTGGTTCTACTCAACCAAATCTACGTCGAGTCTAGAGGCAATAGATAAGTTAAAAACTCAACAGATAATTTTTGGAAATCCTTCACGAATAATTATTGACAGAGGTACTGCGGTTACTTCATCAGATTTTGAGACTTATTGCCAAAAATAAGGTTTCGAACATCTAAAAATAACAACAGGCATTCCTCGTGGTAATGGGCAAGTGGAAATAATGCATTAGATCCTCATACCTATACTGGCAAAACTTTCAATAAAAGATCCTACTAAGTGGTACAAATTTGTTCCAGCAGTACAGCGTACCATTAATTCTACAGCTCCTCGGAGCACTCAGAGGACACCCTTCCAACTTCTAACAGGAGTGAAAATAAAACAAAAGAGGGCTTATAAATTCTGCAAATGTTTCAGAACGAACACATAGAATCCTTTATCCAAGATAGAGAGAATATTCGAGAAGATGCCAAAAAGAATATCTTGAAGATCCAAGAAGAGAACCGCAGGCAGTATAATAAAAGAAAGAAGAAAGCCAATGAATATCGAGTAGGAGACTTAGTTGCAATCCAGAGAACTCAGTTCGGATCTGGTGTCAAATTAAAACCAAAGTTCTTCGATCCATACCAATTCACGAAAGTGAAGAAGAATGATAGATACGAAGTATTGAAAGTTGGGAATCACGATGGACCGAACAACACTTCATCTTCAGCTGACCACATGAAACCGTGGTCAGTAAATTAAAAAATTGTTTTTTATTTTTTATACTTTGCTTTCTCGTTTCCTCCCCCCTTTTTTTTTCAGGTAACTGTGTCTAGAAGCTGTTCCAATGGAAAATGAGGACATTTTGTTGTCAGGATCGCCGAGCTGTAGGAGCTGCAGTTTCAGCCACATGGTGTAATATCTCGGCAGATTACAACATTCTTCATCATGTAATACTGAGAAATATTTCATTATTCTCTTCATCATTGAACGGTGCCAGGGAGTCCAGATGGGGAAGTCCCGAATTTATAATTAACTCTCTTCGATAGAACAATCAAATTTCTCTACACTTCCGATTTGGCAACCACTGCGAGAAGGCAGTTCTTACCAATCATACTACTGTTAATTCCTTTTATTTCTATTAAATGTTAAGTTTGCTTATTTTATATATGTATATATTTCAATATCTAATATATATATAT